GGATATGATATCCTAGTAGTTGGTAGTATGTTGAGTATGAGTTAGTGTTGCATGCTAGTTGCTATGCCAGTAGGGTAGATCTGTAGGACTACCTGTATTATTATGTGATTACTTGTATGCGCATTAATTGTATTATATTTTGACATATTATGTGGGTTGGGTTGAGGTTGTACTGCTCCGTGCGGTAGCCAACAAACCCTAGAGTATTCCAGATATGAGCTCAGGGCCAGGCGGGCCATACCAGATTCATACTGAGGACTCAGGAACATTCCAGATACGAGTTGGGTGGGGCATGCCAGACTCGTACTGTGGGATCGGGAGCATTCCAGTTACGAGCTGAGGGCCAGGTGGGGCATACCAGACTCGTACTGGGCTCGGTGGCAATCCAGATGTGAGCTGTGGGCCCGGAAGGCAATCCAGACTCACACTGTCGGCCCATGGGTAATCCAGTCTGTAAAGCTGTGGACCCAGTACATGCTGTTATTTGTATATGTGTTATGTGCAGTGTATCAGTATTTTTGGGGAACTCACTAAGCATCGGGCTTACAGTTTCGGTTTATTGTTTCAGGTACATCAAGTGATCGCGGGAAGGCAAAGGCGTGATCGTACAGCTCCTCATATTTATGTTTATGTTTATGGAATACTCTGATATTATACATTTTGAAAACAAGTTTTTTAATGATTAATGGTTTTGAAATGTTTTTAAAAGTTTAAATTTGACATGATTTTTATGGGTGTTACACCCGTCAAGACCGGTTCGTATGTATGTGTGTGTGTGTGTGTGTGTGTGTGTGTATATATATATATATATATATATATATATACTGCCATACGTTTTAAACTCTAGTTATCTCAAAAGTTTTATAATAAAACCTTTAAAAAAGTTGCCAACCCTAGTTCTAGCTTTCCACATGAAAGTTCTTTTTGTTGAATTTATCAGTTATAAGAAAACGGAGGCCACTTGCCACACATCATCCTATATTGTTTGAGGGATAAATGAATTTGAAGAAAAGAGGCTATACAAAAAAAGATAACTAACAAGTTGTAGACATGTTTGCCTCCGATTTTATATCTGTTTTGTGATCATGTATACGGGAGAGTACTCATTATAAATTATGAGGTTTTTAAATAGATAATTATTAAAAATTTCATCACTTTTGGCTTGAAATAGTTTGAAATTTTTTGGAAGCGGGTGTTCGGAACCGGAACCGGTTCCGGCGGATTCGGAGCGGTTCCAAAATTTTAGGAACCGATGTAGCCGGTTCCGGTTCCGGTTCCACTGAATTTAGCTGGATACCCGCTTATGTTCATCCTTAATTTTATCATCCATAGAATTTAAACTTGGATTGATGGACATCTTTTCAATGTAGTATACCTTTGTTGGTTCACAGTAATTTAAATCTAATTTGTTACTTATTATATTAACATGGCTTTATCTCAAGCAATGGGGGTTGAATTTGTGTTTGTTTTATGACCAAATGGTTTTTGAATCTTTACATGCTTAACAAGTCAAATACTATAAGTTTAAATAGGTAAGAATATACAATGAATCACCAAACATTTCAATTACAATTGCCGTAACATCCCGTATATTTCTCCCAATTGAACACCAAAGTAATGATGCTATTCACCGAATACTGCTGAGACAACCGAACTTTATTGAAGACTTGAGCATTCCTAGCTTTCCACCCGCACCATAAGAAACCATAAATGATGGCAACATTTTTTTTTTTGTTTTTTAGGACATCTCCCCCATTGGGCAGCAAACTCCACGAGACCACTGATCGAATCGAATTGTTGGATCGGAATGTTGCACCAGTTAAAGATCAAGGCTAAAGCACTATTAGAGAAAGGACACGGGAGAAGGGAGTGATCAGAGTTGTCCAAGCCACCATCACAATTATGACAATAAATATTCGAAATATTAACCTTTCTTTTAGCAAGGGCCACAACTGTAGGGATCCTAAACAAGCTCTCCAAACAAAACAAATAACATTAAGTGAGGCCACGCGAATCCAAACAGTGGGGTTTTGAATAGGGCGAGAGACCTTTAGGTTGACAAGGAGTCTTAAATTTTGGATATGAAAAATCCCATCATTCGACAATCTAAATTTCCACGTGTCTAAACCATTCGGAGTTTGCATTGACGATACAATCTCATTGAAACTAAAGGGCTCAACTTGTTCACTCGGATCAAGCTTACCCCTTTTCCAAGCCCAAGAGGGTTACTGATTTCTTCTTATCAAGCTAAAAAAGAGACTGGAATTTAGAAGCCAACGAACCATGGCTCGTCCAATTGTCATGCCAGAACAACGTGTTGGAACCAAATCCAATGCAAGACTCGAATAAGGAAGAAAAATGTATACCTAAAGCTTCCAACTCCGAACCAATTTTGATGATATCTAACCAAGTACCAGACAATGGATAACCTCCAGTGGTTTCCTATCGAGATTATGAATTCCCCCTATACGCAACTCCATAAACCATTTGGGCGAACCTTGATGCGCCAAAGCCATTTGACTAACAGAACATGTTCATAGCATAAAGAAATCCAACTACCAACCCTCCATTTATCTTTGAATCTGAGAATAACATCCCACACGACCCAACGTATTTTCTTTTTTCACCGGTGCCCCCACATAAAATTCCTTCTAATTTTTTCAAGCCTTTCAATAACTGACAAGGGAGCTTTAAATAAGGAGAAATAATATAACGAAGACTGCTAAAGACTGATTTGGTTAAGGTTAGATGACCTCCATAGGACGACCTCCAAACGAGATAAATTTCCAAGAAGAAAGCCTATTGTGTACCTTTTCAACGACCAGATTCCAATTCCTCTTTAAATTTATGTTGGCGCCTACGTGAACACCTAAATATGTAAAAGGAAACGTAACGGCCTCACAACCAATGATACGAGCACAATTAGTAATTTCATCAACTGATGTCTCGATCCTATAAACTTTGGATTTGTGGAAATTGACTTTGAGACCGAAAGTCGCGAGGAAGCAACGAAGGATCCTAACTGCAATAAACTCCCTACATATTGGTCTCATAATCGATTTAGTCCCTATATATTTTTTTTATTCAATCAAGTCCCAACTACCGGTAATCGTATTCAATTTAACCCTTTGACTTGGTCAACAGGTCATTCAACTTTCAAAAATTACATTTTTGGCCCAGATTTCAAAATTTATTTCAAATTTGGTCCAAAATTTACACTTTTGGCTCATATTTTAAATTTTGTTACAAATTTGGTCAAAACTTTACTCTTTTTGCCCAAAATTTTAGAATTTTATTATGAATTCATCATAACTTTAGTTTTTTTACAACTTTTTTTCTCAAAGAATTGTCTCTAATATGTTTTTTCTTTATAAAATCATATTTATACAAAATAAAATGTATTTTCACATAAAAATCTTATATTTTCTATATAAATTTTTTTTAAAAACTTTTTTTTATATGAAATATCTAGTTATAAAAATATGTATTTATTAAGTATATAAATATATGCAAATCCGTTTTTTATAAAACAAATGTATACAAAAACATATTTTACAAAAAAAATGTATACAAACACCTATTTTATCTATATTTTTTTATAAAATCGTGTTTGTTTACATTTTTTTTATAAAAAACGTGTTTGAATAATGTTTTATATAATATGTGTTTATATACATTTTATAAAATGTATACAAACACGATTTTATAAAATATATACAAACATGTATTATATAAAAATTATTCAAACACGTTTTTATAAAATGTATACAAACACGATTTTATAAAATGTATACAAACACGTATTATATAAAAAAATTATTTAAATACATTTTTATAAAAAAATATAAACAAACACGATTTTATATATATATATATATATACATACATATATATATATATACATATATATATATATATATATATATATATATATATATATATAAAGGTGATAGATGTTTGTATACATTTTTTTGTAATACGTTTTTGTATACATTTTTTTATAAAAACGGATTTGTATATATTTATATACTTAATAAATACATATTTTTATAACTAGATATTTCATATACAAAAAAACTTATTAAAAACAGTTTTTATATAGAAAATATAAGATTTTTATGTGAAATACGTTTTTTTTCTATAAATATGATTTTATAAATAAAAAACATGTTAGAAACATTTTATTGAGAAAAAAGGTGTAAAAAACTAAAGTTAGGATGAATTCATAATAAATTCTAAAATTTAGGCAAAAAGGGTAAAGTTTGGACCAAATTTGTAATAAAATTTAAAATTCGGGCCAAAAGTGTAAATTTTGGATCAAATTTGTAATAAATTTTGAAATATGGGCCAAAAATGTAATTTTTGAAAGTTGGATGACTTGTTGACCGGGTCAAAGGGTTAAATTGAATACGATTACCGGTATTTGTGACTTAATTGAATAAAAAATATATATAGTGACTAAATCGATTATGAGGCCAATATGTAGAGATTTTATTGCAATTTTCTCATAGGAATTTTATCCCCATGATTTTCTTTTAAGAAAAAGAATAATGATTTTTCAGGTGAAACACTGATGAGTGATGACTGATGTACGGGTTTTACACTTTTACACTCCGCTCCCGAGTTGTAGTAAAGAAAAGAAGAGAAGAGAAAAAGAAAGTAAGGAGAGAAAAGAAGAGAAAAGAAAGGAAAATAAATTTGTCTTTTGTGCTTCTGAGTTGAGGAGAAATGAAATGAAAGTTAAACATTTTGTTATTTCTTTCCAAATCGAAAGGAAAATTAAGAGGAAAAGTGATTCTTCAATTTCCTTCCACTTCCTTTCTTTAATTAAATTTGGAAGCACCAATTTTTTTACTTTCCTCACACTTCTATTTTTTTTTTTTTTTCATTAAGTTGAACTCGAGAGGTAAGTTGAAGTCGGGAGGGGTATCCAAAGTTGTTTTTAAAATTTATTTTTTTAAATAATAAAAGCCATAAATTAGCCGCCTATACACGTCTACAGTACACACACCGTCGATCTCGTCTACAACCCTCCATTTCCGACATCTGTCCCTTCCCATTCTCTCTCACTAATCGCTGTGCATCCGTACTTCACAAGTAAACCTTTAAGCAAACAAACACCCTCACTTGCTAATCATGGACTTTCTTGCAATTTCCATGGCGATTCTCTTGGCTATGGCTGGTTATTCAAGTAAGATTTTCATTCTTGCTTCTTCTCATATGGGTTCTTGCTTTTTCACCTTTTCTTAACTTGGATTCACTTAGATTTCCTTCCCGAGCGTTCGTTTTAACAACACTTTTAATGTCTGTATTTTTTGGGTTTTCTGCAAGATAAATCAGTCGTAGATTGTCGTTATGTTAACGGGATTTCTCTTGTTTTTCTTTCCGTTTGTCAAATGACTACTTCAAGGTTTCTCTGTTTTTCTTCCTTCCTTCAAATGGGTTTCTGAGTTCTCTTTTTCTCTCTCGATTGGATTCCTGTTTGATTTTCATTTTAAGCCCTAATTTGATCCATTTCCTGTCTATTTCTACTTTACAAAAACAGATGCAGCTTATTGTGTATGCAACACTGCACTGAGTAACGACGTTCTTCAAAAGAACATTGATTATGCTTGTGGACATGGCGCCGACTGTGCTCAAATCTCTCAAAATGGGGCTTGTTTTAACCCTAATACAGTCAAGGATCATTGCAATTTCGCTGTTAATAGTTATTATCAAAAGAAAGGTCAAGTTCTAGGGAGCTGTGATTTCTCAGGCACTGCTACTGTTAGCCAAACACCCCCTTCTGGTGAGTCTCCACTCTCCATTGAATTTACCATCTTACCCTCTGAACATTTCTGTATTCTCATTTGTGCCGTGTTTCTTGATGATTTACAGGTGCAAATTCTGTTTGTTATTCTGGGAACCCTAGGTATGATATCTTTCCATCTTAATTGGATCTTGTTTTCGTGATTAAATGTTACACATCATGTAAAGATCTGCCTTTTTATATCTTTTATACTGTTTTGAACTAATTAAGTAAACAAAGGTAAACCCTTTTTTTTGCAATGGCCAAATTCATAGCTAGGCTTTAATCACTTGTACCTTATGCGTTCAGGTTAAAATCTTTTTGACAATTAGGGTTTGGTAGATCCAGAATCATACCCTAATAGAAATAACTGTTTGGTCAATACAGCGTTGACTTTGCGATCTAATTAGCATGTTGACATATGTTTCTTGATATGTATTGTTACTATATATGCTCAACATTAAGTGCTACTAGGGCAACTACTTATTCCCCTTTGTATCAAAAATTATAATTTTACATATTTTATGTGATAAATAAGCTATTCTTCAGTGCTTCTTCCTGTTACATTCTTAAAATTTAAACCATTGTATATAATTGTGTTCAAAGTTGATCAATTTTTCAAAGTGAATGCTTATTTGTCTTTTTTTTTCTTGAAAGAAGATGGTTTATTTGTATCGAGTATGGCCTAAAGATCGTGGTCTTGAAAGCTATTCACTATTTTCTTTTGGTTTTTAACATTGCAGTACTTCAACTCCAACACCACCAGCAACCGGAACCGGAACCCCGACCCCAGGAACCGGAACCCCGACCCCAGGAACCGGAACCGGAACCCCAACACCCGGAACCGGAACCGGAACTGGAACCCCAACACCAGGAACTGGAACTGGAACTCCAGGGTCCGGGACCGGAACCGGAGCTGGAACTACGGGGACTGGGACTGGAAGTGGGAGTGGCACAATGCCTGGAATCAATGTGAATCCACAGAGTGGACTTGGGCCAACAGGAACAACTGGGTTTGACAGCAGTGGTTGTGTGTCTATTTACCAAATTACTAACATCTTCACCTTGCCAATTATTTCGGTTGTTGGGTTGATTTGGTTCAAGTTGATTTAAAGAGGGTTAGATATGAAATATGATATGTGTGGATGAGATTTTGTGGTGTAAAGCGGGTTGTTAATTTATCGTTTGTATTAAATTATGTGGATTTCCTTTTATAGTATGACAAAGATGTTATATTTTTGCCTTTTTAATACGATAAACATGGGAAATAAATTCCGTTCACACGGGGGGATTCGGTTCTTTTGGATGGGAGACGTTTGAATTGTTGACTTATTGTGATTTGGTTATAGAAAAGAAGTTATTATATCGTTTTCCTTCTAATTCTAAATTGAAGATTTAAAAAAAAAATGCTATGCTAATATTTATATTAAAAATGTTATTATATATATATATATATATATATATATATATATATATATATATATATATTAAACTTGGCTTGTAACATGAATAGTGAACTGGTGAACAGTTTGGCAAAAATAGCCCATAAGTTTTCATATTTTTAGTGGTTCAGATTTTTGGCACTAATGTTTGTGGTATTGGCAATTTGGTCCCTGTGTAAAGATAAGGATGGGGGGAGACGTGGGAACTAAACTTGGCTTGTAACATGAATAGTGAACTGGTGAACAGTTTGGCAAAAATAGCCCATAAGTTTTCATATTTTTAGTGGTTCAGATTTTTGGCACTAATGTTTGTGGTATTGGCAATTTGGTCCCTGTGTAAAGATAAGGATGGGGCTGATACGTGTCGTTCCCACGTCTCCCCCACCGGTTCTGCCTCGGTTCCTGTGCTTCCCACGAATTTTGTTCTGGATTCCTCCATTTCTGAACGAGTGAACGACACTTCTAAACACAACTACCTTCCGCAATCCATTTGCTTCCCTCTCATCCCACCTCCACCGTCGCCTACCTCTATTAGGGTTCGCTATCTAATCTGAATTCACACCGAAGGCACCGCAACTCATGAAACACCCGCTGGCTATTGTGGCTTTGGTGCCTAAAGAAGCTGCTGTGTTCGCCGCCCGTGCAGTCGTCGGTGCCGCCGCGAAGCGCTTCAGAGAGCTGCGTTCACCCACCGGAAAAGCGCTTCAGAGAGCTGCGTTTTACTTCAAAGAAGCGATTCAGTGTCTACTCACCGGATTTCCGTCCTTCTTCAACCGTGTACGTCTTCTCTCCATGTGCCTCTTCACTGATTTGAGATATCTCCTTCTGTGTCTTCTATTTACACGAATTGCTTACTTCCCGACCCTCAAATAAACGTGGGGTCGTCGATTTCCCCTCGCCGGTATCAGGGTTGGTCTTCGCTTGCGCTTCTAAACGAAATCCCTAAAGTCGATTTCAGTATCCACAACCATCGGCAAGTGAATCTGAGGATCGTACTATCCGATGGTAAAAAAAACTCTACGTTTTCTTTTCATTCTTGCCTTCTTCTTCAGGCAAATACATGTATACTAACAAAGAACTACATTTTTGCTGACAAGGTAAGGTTTATTTTTCTTTTGACGTTTCCGGTGGTAGCATAACAACACGTTTTCTACTCCAGGGTACCATCATAGACCCGATGAAGCACACAACGTCTCTTCGACGAAAACCAAAAGTATCCTTCACCGCCTCAGCCCCTTTTTTAACCTATTTCTCCATTGAACAGCAACAACCCCTACGAGTAGGTAGTAATCGGAACTCAAGGAGGCAGACAGTAGGTGGGGACTACAACAGGTGAAGCGGCAGCCTAACATAAATCAGGTACTTTATATACACCTAGATTTCTACGGTTTATGAATTATTCAAATTTTGTGTTTCTGCATATTCAACACCACCGAAATTGTTGCAGTATCCTTAGGTTCCTGTCAATTCAAGAACAAAAAAAAAACTAAGAATGTGTGTATGATTAGGAACGGGAGAGGTTCTGCTTCTCTTGCGACTCTGCTCCTGGTCATACGGTGCTTCTTTGCAAAGTCGACATCAGTCAATTTATAGACATGTTGATGTTATCATATTTCTATATGTGATAACGATATCAAAATGTGTTATATTTAGAAGATTACAAGTATTATTTGTTTGTGAATGAGCAATAGGTGGAGGGCAGCATAAACAGAAGATAAAAAGAGGGTTGTGGTCACCAGATGAGGATGAGAAGCTTATCAGTTATATTACTACAGATGGAAGCCATGGTTGTTGGAGTTAGGTTCCAAAACTTGCTGGTCTTTCTTTTTAATTATTAGTTTCTTTAACTTATTAATATGTATTATAGTTATATTACTAACATATTTGATTGGATTTGGATTTGAATCAGGGTTACAAAGATGTGGGAAAAGTTGTAGACTACGATGGATTGATTATCTAAGACTGGGTCTTAAACGAGGAAACTTTACTTCACAAGAAGCGATGCTCATAACTGATCTACACAGAACCTTGGGAAATAAGTAATTAACAAGATAAAATTTTTACTTATCTTTTAATTAATTGTTTTGAAGATATTGATTTCTTTTGTTATTTATTTTAAAAAAGATGGGCACAGATAGCGAAACACTTACCAGGAAGAACAGATAAGGCAATCAAAAACTTCTGGAACTCCAACAAGAAAAGGAAGCTTCTTCCTCATGCCAACTCCTCTGGTCATACTATTGCTGCTAACCTTAGAAATAACAAAATTCAGGCTCCTGGAAGCAATGAGAAAGATGAAGATGGTTTATTTAATTTTAGGGCTTCTGCTGCTTCTTCTGTATAAGTTCAACAACGGCGATGACCGGGTCACCGGAAGTGGCGGTGGTTGACCTTTTAATGGGACCAAATGGAAACATAGGTGTTGATTCCATCGGTCTTCCCAAATTGTTGATTATTTACAAATTTGTGTATTGAAATGGTTAAAAGCTTCTATCTTACAACTTCTTTGTGTTTAATTCTTTTTGTCACTGTTACAGAATGTTCAAGATCCTACTCTTCTAACAAAGGGTAAAAGAAAAGAAGTTGATTCCATCACCATCAACAACAAAGTCACTGGATCAGATCTTAAATGGTAAGATTTTTGTTAATCGTTTTGATTTTTTTATAAAGGCACATAATGAAACATCTGCACATGTAGTATTAGGAGCGGTCAGAAGATGATTTTCATTTTTCCTAAGAAAAGCAATTTATGTCTATAAGTAAACTTTTTCCAGCAAGTGCAATTATGATTCCTGTTGGTGGCTCATTATCTGAAATGGGTGTTGTAATATTCTGTTGAAACACAAAGATAACAAAGAAGGGTAAAACTATTAAAATTTGGTGATTTATTGTTGTTTGGCAGGATATCAAAGCTATTATGACTGGTGAAGAGGTTTGGATTTCTTCCCCTCTTAACCTTATTATCCATTTAAAATCATTTAGCCACATTTCTTGCTACAGGTATTTGGTATGCAAGTTGTTATGTATTTGGAACCTTTAACAGGTGTGTTGCTCTGACACCCATCATTTGAATTCCGAGCACGACAATTTTCCCAGAGGCCATTTGCAGCTTTCATGTTGGTCATACTACACAATTAGAAACCGATGCAAGGTTAGGTTCAGTAATTTGTAGTGTAAGAGATAGGTTGTGCCAGTTTGTGAATTTAGGATGACCTGCAGTTTACTTAAAAGATCAACACATTAATGGTTGAGCAAGGTAACATATTAATAGTTTTTTCAAATTTATCAATAATTAAATTATAAAAGAATCTGATTTTGGACAAATAATAGAAATTAAAAAACTATTCAATTAATTCATAGTTTTTTATAAATCATACGAATGAAATTTGAAAATTTAAAGTTTATTTATTTATTTATTACATTAGTTGAATAATTGTAGTTTATGACCTCCTCATTTTATTGAATGTACATTTTTGGTAACTTACATAGAAATTCATGAAAAAGGAGGATGTTTTTACTTTGCCAAAAAAGGACACAATGTAGAGGAAAAGAGACCTGCTCATTCCATTATAGGTGTCTTTTCAATGGGACCTACATGTAAGATTATGCACATCATGGGGGCCACATTGACAAATTTTATAATCGTGAAAGAAATTTGATTTTAACAGTTTTGGACCAAACTGCCCCTCCATACTATTTTTATAGTTAAAAAATTTGATTTTAACAGTTTTGGGCCAAAATGCCCCTGCATACTGTTTTTATAGTTAATTTTTATTTTCAACAGTTTTGGTTTTCTCTTACATGGTTGTTTCTTTTTCACTTAGCCTGGACCGAATGAAATAATCGGTTAAGACACTAATTACCCATAACTGAAAAAACTTTTGTGTATAATTAAATAATTGATAACATTAATACATTTATATTCATATATTGTTTTTCAGGAAGAAGAGGCAGCTTTGCTAGAATCACTGTTGGTGGTCATTTGGTAAAAAGGTTAAAAAGGTCGTCACTTTATTACATGTGACATACGATTTTGGTAATCGTCTTGTGATTATACTTTATATAATTACACATTAATGACATTTGTAAGAGAATTGAAGCACACAAATGAAATCAAAGGTTAACATTTTTTAATAAAAAAACATAAAATGCAAAAAATAGCAACTTACTTTCAATAATTATTTATTATAGCATTCTAATTCCATCTCTATAATTGGCTACAGTTTTTATGACATAATCGCTCATAAAGAAAAGAAAGCTGAAAGCATAATGTTGTAAGAAATAGAATGCTTACAAGTAAATGAATGTATTTCGTTATTTGAATGAAACAACAATCTCAACAAGTAACATTATTTGTTTCTTTTGAAACTAAAATTTTCATCATTTATATTTGTAATTCCAACAAGAACATGAGTGGCAATTATTATGGAATTGAGTGTTGCTTCTATTCCAGTATAGATCTGGAAACAGCTACCGTGTTTCTAAAACCTTTGTTTTTTATGATTCATGGCTACCTGACATGTTTTCAAATTAATGAATAGAATGAAAAGGTTTTGTTGTTCATGGAAACCATGATATATTGTTCCTTTTGATCTATGAGACTGATCGTTTGTGAATGTTATTTGTTAATCATGTTTGTGAATGTTATTTGTTAACTTATAGCAAGATATCAGCTACAATACAATTTTCATTGCTAGGATGTACATTCATTTTTTAATCACATATTACAACATATTCAACTATTATGCGTTTGTAAATAGGTGAATTGAAGTGAATAGCAACATACTTTACTATGTCCACAATTTAGGCAATGTACTATATTTCACAAAAAAGCGACGCTTTCTACCGTCTTCCGTTGGTTTTATTTAACATTAGTGCCGAATTGCGGGGGTTCCCATCTAGTTGGGATTATAAATGTATGATTTTTTTTCATTATTTATTAACAAATACAGTAGTATGTAAAGTTTATTATTATAATTCATATCAAAATTTAAAATTGTCAACAGCCTTCGGTGTTGATTTTTTCTAACAATCAAGTTCTGCCGAATATTTAAGAATGTATGTTGAATTTTATCACTTCTAATATTGACTGTTTGATTATTAACAATGCAAACATGTAACTTATAATGAACTCGATTCATTATTTTGTCATACGATAATGTTGCGTTTATTATTAATGTTCAATCATCTTGGAGTTGAAAGAAAGATTGAGCAATGATGAATTGGAGGATATTAGTATTGTTCAAGACTTATCTTTTGGTTGCAGAGAAACCATTAAGATCAGCCCCAAAACAACTTAGAAATATTTTATCTTGCATATGCATGATTTGGTATATGTATGGTTTGTTGTTTGTTCTTTGTGGTCTTTTAAGTTAGTTTAGTTGTTCGTTTGAAATAGAGATGAAACCATCAAGATCATCCCTCAAACAATAATACTAGAGAACAAATTGTTACATTACAAAAAAAAAAAATAATAATAATAATAATAAAATCGTATAATACATTTTCATGAAATGCTTTCGCTTGGGTATCAATAGGGAGATCAAAATCATTTATACAACTGGTGTATTAGTGCTGAAGTTCCGATCATTAAAAATACATGGACTAATTATGGCATTTTGGTTGAATGTTTGGATTTTATTTGTATAGATGATTCAATTAAAAAAAATAATAAAAATAAATAAATAAATAAAACGAAGTCAATGAAGATTCTCAGTAATCTTCCTTTTGAGCATCATGTTCGTAGACGTTATATCGCATGGTCCCTAGTGATTACAAAGACATTTTGTAATGGTTTAACGGTTAACCTTAGGCCTGTTGAAAATACTCGATTATCCGACTCGATCCGTTTTGAATTCGGGTAGATTGGGTTGGATAAATCGGGTATCGGGTTTGAAAATTCGGGTAATCAAGTAACCTGATATCTAAATAGGTCGTATATTGGGTAGGTTTAAAAATATTCGGGTATACCTGAATACCCGATTTTTTAAAAAAAATTAATCAATACACTAGCTATTAATAACTATTAAAGTTGTATCATTATTTTACATAATTATTGTTCCTTATAGTTTAAACCAAATATTATATGACTTCATTATTTGAACGGTATATAGTAAATACAAAAGAAATTGTTGAAAGTGAAATGGAGTTTTGAACAGAATGTTACAACAAATATAATGAAAATGAACGAGACGTTAGATTCTCCTTCATTTTTTTGTGCACTACGATATATTTCTTTTTTTCAACTATGTATATGTTTCTTTTTTGTCAACAAGTCTAGGTTTCTTCTTTGTAAACTGAAATATAGCTATATAATTTGTCCCTGCAATTTAGATAACATGTTAAGTTTTTTATTTATAACTTTTATGATCTCACCTTTTGCATTAAATCATGTAACATGTTTGGTTAATCCAAATTTGATCAAACACTGATCATGTACTTCATAACCTGTTTTTTTTTTATCAAAATTTGAAATGGAATACAAAAATCACATAATGTATTATAACGACTTCTATTGTTATCGTATATGTATTTGTTAATTGTATTGAATATTTTGCTATCCAATTTTTTATTAAAGCAACTAAAATGCAAAAAAGAATTAAAAAAATCAATAAGTGGCACTTAAGTAATTTTCGGTTATACCCGAAAAAACTCAACCCGACCTAAAACCCGAATACCCGAAGCCCGAGAACCCGAATTACAATATAGGTCGGTATCAGGTATTATTATTTTAAGGAAATACCCAAAAATTTTACCCGAATATATATATATATATATATATATATTATATATATATATATATATATTATATTATTATATATATATATATATATATATATATAATGAAACAAAAAAACCCTAAAAATTATAAAAATGCATAAAAAAATACCAAGACATCACTAAACTTTTTTTTGAATTTTTTTTATCAAAAAATGGCAGCATTTTTTACAATTTCGCTGAAAAAAAAATCAATTTCTTTTTGTACAAAAAAAAAATTTTCAAAATTTTTTTTCAGCGATTTTGACCTAAAAGTTGCGACTTTTGGAAAAAAAAAATTCAAAAAAAGTTTTGTGATCTCTAAGTATTTTTTTTATGCATTTTAATGATTTTTAGGGTTTTTTTAGGGTTTTTTGTTTTCCATAGAACCTAAACCTATATATATATATATATATATATCTGAAACTACTTGTTAATTTGTTCCGCACTATTGGTATCAGAGCCGTGTTGTATTTTTGATAGTTATGTATGATATTTCTGTTTGTTATTTAATTAAATTTTGTTTGAAGAATTTTAAGAAAATTATGAGTTTTGTTAAGAATGATACAGAGACCAGACCAGTGATTGGTTGGATTAGCGTAAGACGTGCAAGTATGGTAAGTCGCGGAGCCGGACCACAATCATCGTTGGGCCGATGCCCTCTCTGTTCATCCTAAATAGAACAAGTAAGTTTTCTTATAAAATTTTTAAACTAAAATTAATTAAATATGAGTAGATTTTCACGCATATTATCTAAAAAATATGATACTGGTAAAAATATCATGAATAAAGAACAAGATTAAGATAATAATCATATAAACTCGATTGAAGAAACTATTGATAATATAGAACAAAATTTAAATGATTGGACTATACCTAAAACAAATATAAATACAATTTATAGAATAGGGACTTTTGATTATTTTCAAAGTTACTCAATTAAAATGACTGAACAAACCCTATCCATTGGTCAAGACCAACAAAATATAAATTTGTTATCATCAAGATCTATTTTTGAACATAGACAAAAATATAAATTTCTTCATTTAGGTCTTGTTCAAATTGCTATCAAACCTCTTTTTAGAATTGGTGTTGATGCTCCTGTTCTCTTAATATTAAGAGATAAAAGACATACAGATTTTCAAAATTCTATTTTAGCTATGGCAGAAACAAATATCGCAAATGGACCAATTTATTTTAATTGTTATCCAAATTTTTCTGTAGGATTATTTGACAAAAAATATTTAGACACTTTGGTTTTAACTATGAAACAAAGAATTTAGAATTTAAAAATAACTCTAAACCTTTAGCAATCATTTATCGTGTTTGTTTATAAAACCATGACAACTACTTTAGAACCAAAAACCCGTTTGTCAAGTCCAAGAAATGAAACAATTATTTACGAAGCAAATACTATCATACAAAAGTTCATATGCCTAAACGACTTAAATGGTCGGAAATTACTCAATCGTGTAATTGGAATTTACAAAATGTTATTGAACCAAAATCTTTAGATTCTTCAAAACAAATTTCAAATATAATTGAGCATAATGATGGCTCAGTTGATATAAATTTTTCTTCTATAAATTTTCCATCATCTAGATTTTCTACTAATTCTATTCCTGAAATTGGTACTTCTAAATCTTCGTTTTCAAAATCAAAGTCTTTAAATTTAAAAACTGTTGACTATTCTAGTTCTATTCCTAAACCTCTTTATCAAGAAGATCAAACTAGTGATACAAGTTTACCAAGTCCTACTAAATCTGATTTTATTAATGAACTTCAAAATTATAGACAACAATCATGAGTAATAAAGTTCAAATAAATTGTAATTCTTTAAACATAAATAGAGTTACTGCTATTAAAAGATTAAGAAATTCAATAAAAATATTTAAAAAACTCTTACAAGAAAAGGTATTAGAATTAAAAAATATAAATTTAATAATTAATGATAAGGAACTATTAAAATTAGAGCAAGAAATAAATAACATAAAAGCAGTATTAAAAACCTTTAATATACATCTTGATAATTATTTAACAAATTTATCTAAATATACGTGTTAATGAGTTCTAAAAGACAGATTAGTTGTTGTAATAATAATACTTTTTGAATAATTTATTAAAGACTAGATGACAAATTATTGCAAGCGTTTCTAAAGAAATAAATAGAATTAAACAACTTAAAGAAGACGAAGAAATTAAATTATCTAATATTGAAAAGGACACATATAATTATAATATTCAAAAGGAAATAATATATTGTTTATCAAAAATGATTAAAAATAAATATATTGTTATTAGTGCTCAACTTAGTATTATTAAAAATATATCTTTCAGATTAAATCAATCAACTTGTTAAAATGAATATAATATAGATATTTCTAAAATACCTTCATATGTAATTTTGATTATTTAAAAGAAGAAGAATATTATAAAGATTATAATAATACAAAAAGAATTTGGCATGAAGAAAACTTTTCATATTATATAAGATTTTTACATTTTGGACTTTGGGAAGATTATGTTTATCAAATCAAATTCACTCTCCGTTTTTTCAATGGTTCGAATTGATTTATGTTCCTAAACATATTAGATTATCCTTTTAAAATGCAAACTGTTTTCCTGTTTCTTCAAAAACATACAAGGATGTTATTACTAATCAAGAAATATTTCTGAATATCCGCCAAAAAGGAAATCATTATTGATAATAATTTTATTGCAACTCTTTTAGTTAAAGTTCCAAGTCAGATAACAAATGAAAAATGTTTTCAAAATATTATTTATCAAAATAATATTCGAATGAAACTCTTTTAACTATTTCAGATCAACTAAATAGGATTGAAGAAAATACTATAAATTTACATTATCAAAAGAAAATAAAATTGAAACAAAAAAATTTTATAATAATATAGCAAGCTCTAGTAATGTCAGCTTTATTCCTCATCAAATAAATGGAAATTTTAATCTTGGAAATAAAGATTAATTGATGAATTAGAAAAAAGACTTACTAATTTTCGTATTTCAAAAAAAGTATCTATAAAATATGTTAAAAACAAATAATGACTCTTTTGACGAATCTGACGAAAGTAATAATGAAAGTGAATTAAATTTAGATAATCTTACTCAACAATTCATAAATGATAATGATGATATAAATCAGCTTACAAATGATTTTTCAAGATTAAATAAGATTAATTCTTTT